TTAGCCATAAGAGCTGGAAGATTATGCAGACCTAAATGCTGAAGGTTTATCCATATGTGAAAGGAACCATGCAAATGAGAAATGAGAATTTTCAGAGAGGGAAATGAAAGGGCGTGATGAAAATTTGAAGACTTTCTACTTCTTAGCTTCTGTAAGGCTGGTCGTACATTCAGGCCTTGTATCTTATGAGCGGCTTTTATAATCTACAATAAGAATAAACAGTGACTATATTCTCATTATTTGCCTTAACTAATTTCAGTGTCTTTTAATTTCTTTCTGCCAAATAACTCTTGCATAAGACACTCACTAACCAATTTGAAATGGAAGTAGACATACCACTGGCTTCATATGCAATAAATCAGGAGCAGAAAAGTTTTACCTGCCTTAGAGAAGAACACCTTAATAATTTTGCTCTGGTAATAGAGAAGGGGACCTTTATACCTATATACTCCTGGCCTTTGGCTCCAAACACAACATGGCAACCCTGGTGGTCACTGATGCTGCTATTTACTATTTATCTATTTACTGTTCTCTGCCTTCCTGGAACATGGTAGGATCACATTTCCTGACTCCCCAAAGCCAATCCCTAAGTAGTGTGGGATTGTGTAACCAGATCCATCCAGGAAGGTATGGTAGAATTGCTCTGTGCCACTCTGAGCCGCCACTGAATTGTCTTTTCCAGACTCTCCATTGTTCTCTTGCTTTTGCCATGTTTCCAGTTGATATTGCTGAGAGTGGCTGCTCCATCTATTTCTGTGCTCTTGAGTAGGAATGAGAAAGCGCAACAGAAACCCAGCTGATTCACAGTACAGTGGGACTGAAGAGTAATCCTTGGAGGTTTAAAGGAGATGTAGGAGTTGTTTATCATCATAGCATAATCCTGCCTATTTTGCTTGATTTCATGATCCCTCACCATACACACCATACACACATCATATATATATATATATATATATATATATATAACTTTAAATTATATATAAATATATATATCATATATATATTTAAGTTATACATATATATATATGTGTATATATATATATATATATCACTTCAATTTTTTCTGTATTTATTTTACTTGGTGCATTATAATTGCACATAACGGTGGAATTCATTGTTACATATTCCCTTTGAATTTTGACACACTCCGGTATGGGTATGTGTAGGTTTTAAGGGTTCCCATTCAACCTTATAATGCCACTTAAGGCATGTGCCACAGCATCCAGCTTGTGTTCTATTTCCAAGGGCATAACAATTAAATCATCAACTGTTGAGAACTTTCTACGGCAATGCAATCTTTGGGATTTGCCATTTAAGAGTCATATAATACCTATGAAACTTTCCTATATATAGTTATATACCCTGCCTCAGCTTTCTTCTCATTTCCTATACTCAATTTTCTGGAAACTTATTTTATTCTAATTGCTTCCCTAAAGCCTGGTCAGGCTACACAGACCAAGGCTATTCTGATAATCTAGTCTTTATTCTGGGCATATGGCTAAAAACTTTCAAAATTGAAAAAAAAGGTCAAAATGATGGGCATCTCAAACTCAAATATGTTTAGAGTTACGTGGGGATGCTGATACAATGCAAATTCTAAGGTTCCATTGCAAGAGATTCTGATTCAGAAAGTCTAGGGAGGGCACTGGCCATCTGCACTGTAGTGAGCTCCCAGGGGATACTCATGTTGCTACTCTGTGGACCACACTTGAAGTAGCATGACTTCAGATGATGGTTTTTAGTTTTCTCCAAGTCTAAAATAAAGACCAGTGTGGGAACCAATATCTTCTGTGGAGTAGAGGAGATCGTCTCCATAATTGCTGTGATGAGCTAGCATGAGTAACACTTAAAACTGGTTCAAGAGAGAATTACTAAAGTGTGCTCCATTGGGAATGGGGGAGGGTGGAAATCTTGTTAATTTGCACTTGTTTCATATCTTTACAACTTGGAGTGAAGGCTGGAGGTGAAATTTTTTTTTCTCTTGTTTGTAGGCAGAGGTCTGGCCCTGAATCACACATTTGTACTCTGTTTCCTCCTTCTTTCTTTCCTTCCTTCCTTCCTTCCTTCCTTCCTTCCTTCCTTCTTCCCTCCCTCCCTCTTCCTCCTCCTTCTTTTTGGTACTGGGATTGAACTTGGGTGCACTTAACCTTTGAGTGGCATCCCCAGCCATTTTTTTTTTTTTTTTTTTTGAGATAGGGTCTTACTAAGTTGCTTAGGGCCTTGTTAAGTTGCTAAGGCTGGCCTTGAACTTGCAATCCTCCTGCCTCAGCCTCTCAAGTCACTGGGATAATAGGCATGTGCCACAGCATCAGGCTTGTGTTCTATTTCCAAGGGCATAACAGTTAAATCATCAACTGTTGAGAACTTTCTATGGAAATGCAATCTTTGGGATTTCTTTGACAGCCAGTTGTTGAACTTGGGAACTCACAAAAAGTTATGTGAAACAGAGGCCTCATTCTTCTTTCTCAATATTTTTGCTTCCTCAAGAGCTATCTTTTTGATTCAATGGCAGATAGGTTGACAACTGGGTAGATAGTGTCCTGTAAGTGGTGGCCCCAGCCAAGTATTTTATTACTCCTCATCCACCCCTCTCTATCCTTTGTTTATGATCAATATCAGCTAAGCTCCTCAATTCCCTGAAACATTTTAACAAAGTCATGCAACAGTTTAGATTACCTGGTCCAGTCTATTCATTTTGGTTTAAATGAGAAAGTTGAGATTTGAAGGGGAGAAATAAGTTTTTCCAGGTTACACAGCAGAACCCGAGCAGAACCCTGGCAGAGCCAGTGCAGTGAAAAGGATCTCCTAACCCCTTCCCAGTCCAGTGTTTTTCAACTGCATACACTTCTCATGGATCAGAAAATTGAGATGAACAGGAGAAAGGAAGACAGCAATGTGGGCACCCAACATTCGTTCAGCTACCCAGAAGCCCAGACACAATTTGAATGTTGTTCTGCCATCACTAAATTGTAAACTATCAGACCTGGGAAGAATGTATCCCATTCTCTAACTCTTCAATAATGACACTGGGCAACACATACATAGTATAAAATTTACCAATTCCCTTACTTTAGGAAATTTAAGACATTGCTTTTCCAAATTCTGCTCCCAAACCTCTTCTGCTTTTCCCATTCCTGATACTTGCAGCCCAAATGTGACTGTCTTTGGTCTTGAGTCCTCAAAGGAAAAATATTTCTTGCTTCTTCCTGGAGGTTTTTAGCCTCATTATCATATTCAGAGAGGAGAAAGAAGATCATTAGTGTCCAAACTGACACTGCTGGTGAAAAGCTGGCCAAGATCCCTGGATCTCAGTGCGTCCAAAGCAAGTTTTCTTTGGTCTTCGCTTGTTAATGATGGTGTATTCAAACCTCCTTTATTTAGATCTCACTGACTTGGAATCAACAGTAATTGTGACAGGGACTAAACTGAGATTTACCTCTTAGGAGTAAAGAGAAAAAGTTGAACAAATTGTTAGAGTTAATGATATTTAAAGAGAGATCGGTAGCCTATTTAAGAAAAAAGTCTACAGCAGTGGATGGAACTCAGTGGTAGAACACATGCCTAGGATGCTCAAGACCCAGTTCACACACCACATACACACACACACACACACACACAAAGATGTTTTAAAGTATTGTAGAAGCACTATCTATAGCATGTTCAGAACCCTGACCTATACCTCTTGACCATTTTATTTATATGTTATTCTTAGCTGTACCATGATCTGAGAATTTAAAAATCTGTCTGTTTGTTTTTTTGCAGTGCAGGGGGATGGAACCCAGGGCCTCTCCCATGCGAGGTAAGTGCTCTACCACTGAGCTATACCTCTACCCCATCTCATGAGAGATTATATTGGGGAATATGTTTTAGTTTAAGCAATATAACTAAATTGTACTCCTCTGAAAGAAGAAAGAATCTTCCACTTCAGAGTTTTGTTTTCTTTTGGGTTTCCTTTTAATAATGGAGATGGCTTAGTGAAGTTTTCTATACTCACAGTGTGTGCATGTGTGTACTTACTCTGAGTTGTCCCGGGTTGGAGACACTCTGACTTAGAAGCAATGACACTGAAATAGTGATTGTTGTAATGCCTAAGTATAGTTCAGAATAGGTGTAGTTATGTGTTATAGCGTTCAAGAATAGTAAACAGGTTTGAAACTTCATCCTAGGTAATAAATGACATAAAGATAGGAGAAAATCAGATGATTTTTCATGTAAGCCCAATGCATCCAATGAGAAGGATTTTATTTTAAAGGGGATGGAGAGTTGGGAAGAGAGCATGACTGACTGAATTCTGGGAGCAATGGAGATGCTGAAGTTGGGGGTTAGTCAACCATCCTGTTAGGTAACACTGTTTTTGCTCATCCTGTACCTAAGCTCTGATGAATAATGGACTACCTTAACAGCAAAGGTGAGAAAGTTCAAAGAAAATAATATGCAAAATGCGGCTAGAGAAAGAGAGCCCTGAACACACACAACTCCAGATCTAAAATCAGTTATCATGGTGTAGCATGATCCTCTGGATTAAGTGGCCTGGACACGAAACTACTTTCATGCTAACCATAGCACCTAACTTTCAAATCCAGCTAAGACCTAAGGTCCAAGCACAGTGGATTTATGAATATGGACACAACATTAGAACTTGTGACTCTGTTTTGAATTGGTATACTTTGTCTATGGTACCTGTCCTGGGTCCACCTTTCTACATTCCTTTTGTTCCCCGTTTTCAAAAGTACTATTAAATTTTAATGTGTAAACTTCAACATTTACCCACATACACACTTTGGTGATTGTAGTAAATGTATATGGTTGTGCACCCAATACCACAACCCGGTTTTAAAACCCTGCTCACCCCAAGTGTTCCCGAGATCCTGTTTGCAGCCGATACCTGCTTCCACCGTCCCCTCCGATGATGCTCTACATCTTTTTCACACTTTTCAATTAGCTTTGGTTTGAACCCTGTAAAAGTAAGTAGGTGGCTACTTTCAGAGACATGGGTTATGTTGAAACAGCTTTATTTTTTTTTTAATCCATAAATATCTGTTACTGACAAAAGTGGAAAAATCCTTAAGACTAAATCTTACTAAAGTGATACCTGTTTACAGTACATATAGAATGTGCTTTGACAGGTAAGTAGGACGATGAGATTTGTACAGAAGCAGTAACAAGGGCACTGCTCGCCATGAAGCTTACATATGGGTAATGAATAAACTGTGCAAAGGTACGGATAGAAAGGTACTGTTCATCAATACTACCATATAATAAACATAGAATCCATAAATTGGGCTAATGCATAAAAATGTTCATTAATCCCCCCCTTAGGAAATTGTGTCCCCAAACTAAAAATATTACAGTAAGAATTGCTTTTTATTAGAGAATTTCAAGAACTCTTTACTACAAAATGTCCAGTGGAGTTATAGAACTAGACGAATATTTGCCACTACAAAGCAAATGAATGGGTCCTCCCATGGAGTGGCTCTCTCAAGGGTCACTGCAGGGTGGGCAGCACAGTTGAGCAGGGTCTTCCTCTCCCTCCACAGGGAGGGGATTAAGGAAACAGACAGCATCATTTTTCTGAACAATGGAAGGTTTATGTGTTTGCCGATTTACAAGATGGTTTGGATGAGACCAACTTGGAATCTCCATTCCTGCTTCACAAGCCTTCATGGGGAGGACAATAGTGTCACAGGAGGGGCTAGAAAGATACTAGAGTGGGGTGAGTGCCCACCTCCTAGCAGCCCAGGTGGCGGCGCCTCCTCCTCTCTGGTTCGAATGGAGCCTCCGCGTCCAGACTTGGTCTTCAGGATGCATGTTCCAGAGTGGGATTTAAGAACATTCTTTGCCACACAGAGTCTTTGCCAACTCTGGGGCTCAGAATGTATTTCCCAGCTGTCCTCAGATACAAACTTCATGCCCCAAATTCCCAGGCCGGCTCTGAACTTTCCTCCTCCAGTCCATTCCCTATCTGAAATTGGAATCGCCTCCCTCCAGCTATAAAGGGCCACTTCAAAAATGAAAACTCCAGACTCAGAATTTCCCAGTGACATAGACATCTGGGTGATTTAGGTGTGTCTACAGGAGAGGCTTCCGTGATGCATGGTTGGTGACCTTTTGAATGGTCACACCCTTCATCTTCTGGTCTGAGAGTAACTGTGGGTGGCTGAGCCTGTTGAGCCCACCCCAAGCTTTGGTGAGGAGTCTGGTGGCTGTCTAGGGCTTCTGAGGATGTCACCAGGGGCAGGCATAGTGGAATATGTGCAGCTCAGTTGAGGTGGAAAGGATATGGAGAAAGGATGGTAGATGAGAGGTTGATGGACATGAGAGCCCTAGAATGTAAGAGCTGGGTGAGACTTTGAGGCTCATCTAGACAAAGCCCCTTGTTTTACAGATGGGGGAAACTGAGGCACTGAGCAGGAACATGATTCCCCCTTGGTCACATAGCAAGATGGAGAAAAAGCCAGGGCTGGAAGCCACATCTCCGGAGCCACAGCCCTCTGCTTTCTTTTTCTCCCCAAGTCTGCAGTCTTCCAAAACCAAATACAGAGCCCAGGAAGACTTCTTTCACATTGAATCTGCCATTAAAATGCTGCATTTTATAAAAAATAACATTTGAACCCTGAAAAATACTTCGTTAAAACACAACATGCTTCCTTGAAAATATTCCAGAGCAAAGTTTCCCAGATTTGGAGAGAATGACAGGAATGTGAATGGGAGGTAATATGTCCATACTTCTTAGAATAGGTGCCTTCCAGGGTCCAAGGGATTGAAGCCCTTTCAAACTTTTACCTTGGGTCAAGTCCACAGATGCCTGTGGAAGGAATCAGGGTGGAAGTCTGGTGGCAGACAGAATATCTCTGAAGAAAATGGATTGAGTTTGGTGGCAGGGACTTGGGATGGATACTCCTCTATGTGTTGAGAGCTGTGAGTCTTTCAAATCCTTTGGAACAAATGGGGGGGCGGAGGTTGTGATGCACACTATCAGGAAGGAGAAATGAGTAAGAGCAGTTGCTGAGAGCCCCCAAGGGTATGAATCTTTGGCCAGAGCAGGAGCCTCTGGGCTAGTAGAAGCCTGGGGCAGGGGCTTCACGGGTCTTGCAGCTATAGAAACCAAGGCTGATATTTAAGCCATGATACCTCTAACCCAGCAACCCTCTCCCTTCCCTCCCAAAGATCAGCAGGGGAGAGCCCTTGGCTCTAAACCCTGGGCTATCACCTTACAGGTGTAGGAATTGAAGTATAAACCAATAAGACCAAAAGAGGACTCGAGCAATGTCTGATTCTTCCACAGTTTTTACCCAAAGCTTTAGTTCTTGAAACTAGAGACTCTAGCAGGACCAGAGAAAAGAAATTAGGGATGGAGGAAGGTAAATGGAGGAAGAGGGAAATGAGAAGAAAGAGAAAACTGGCACATGAGAGAGACTGAGGTTGAGAAGAGAGTGAGCTTAGAAAAAGGGGAGAAGGTTGGAACTTTCTAAGAGGCAGACCCATTGCCCAAGACACGGGGGAATCCTGAGGCAAGAAGCCCAGTTCGGAGGTTAAGGGATCCTAGGCAGGAGGAAGCAAGACAGGAAAGATGGAAGGGCATAAGGGATCTTGAGATCTTCAGGAGGAACACACAGAGCAGGAGAGACCTGTGCCGACTCCTGTCCATTTCTATCAGAGCAATGGAGACATGCAAGAAAGAGCAAAAGGAGCAGAGGGACATCTTGGGCTTTAGGCTTCCTTTACTAGGGAGGGACAGGGGTACTTTATTATGAAGGAGGTGTTGCTCCTCTGGGGGTAGCAAAGGCCACTGACCTGGTGGGGCTGAAAGTTGTGAATCTAGGTTCCAGCCCCAGAACCCTCTCTTTATGGGAACTTACCTGGTAATGTGACTTTGCTTATTCCATCGAGATGATGGGACAACTGAATTAACGAGACACAGCAGTCCCCCCTTATTGGCAGGGGATATCCTCCAAGACCCCAAGTAGATGCCTGAAAATGCAGATGGTACCAAGCTCTGTATATATGTTTTTTTTTTTTCTTATACATGCACATGTGTGATAAAGTTTAGAAATCAGACATGGAAAGAGATTAGCAACAACAGGTAGTAATAAGATAGGATAGTTATAGCAATATATTGTGATAAAAGTTATATGAATTCAGTTTTTCTCTGTTAAAAGAGTCAAGACAGATATTAATATTTTAGGACCATGTTTGATGGAAACAGGGTGATGCAAAACTGTGAATGAGTGGGGGACTGCTGTCCCTCTTTGCCCCAGTTAAAAGACATAGTTTTCTGGATTTTGCTATAGGGGGACTGAATTGGAGTATGTTTGTAGACCTGTCTCTATGTAAACCCATCTCTATCCCTTTTTCTCTTGCTTTCTGTTCTTCACTCCCTCTTTTCCTCCTTCCCTCCTTCCCGACTCAAGGGTGAGACAGGGAAAAAAAAATCCTTTAAAAGAAGTAAGGGTTCTAAGCAGAATTTTCTGCTCCAACGGACACCAAAGATTTTCAACCAGACAGTGGTAAGGCTGGAATGAGAAATTTTCTGAGATCAACCTGTCAAACAACCCTTGAGACAGACACCTTGTCAGAGACAGGGCTGAGGGAAAAGCATCCCCCTGGGGGATGGAGAACTTGGTGGCTAGAAGATGCCTAGATGGGATGTGCCCAGCTCTCGGGTTTAGTGTGTGCATGTGTAGACACCCGGGGAGGGAATTCTCACCTACCCATGTCCTGTCCTCATCCCCTCGGCCAACAAGTGGCTCTCAAGGCTTAGGGGCCAGCTGTGAGACACATCTTTAAATCCGGGAGTGATCAACTGCTATATTTAGACTGATTACTTGTTTTCTGAGCCTTCTTAGAAGCCTCCAGCCTTCTAGAACAAACACTCATAAACCCATGGGGACCAGCCCTTAAGAAGGTTTATGTGTTTGTGGGGAAGAAAGCGAAGTGGACCCTGGCTCCCTGGCACCACAGTCCCAGAGACACTTGCCCAGTGGGGAAGCTGAGGGCTGCATCTTTGTAACCCCAAACCTCCATCCCCTCAGGATTCATGCCGGGCATTCCTGTTCACTCTGGGAAGTGAGCCTTGGGGAGGGGAGGAGAAAAAGAGCTTTGCAATTTCTTGAAATCTGTAAGAGGAAGCAGTCCATTGATCTCTCTGCTGTTCGTGGACTTGATTAAATATCCCCAGGGTAGATACTGAGGAATCCTCCCACCCTTCTTTTTTATAAAGGGCCATCCATGTGGAACTGAGGGAATGTCAAATTCCAGTTAAGGGCACGGTTGCTGGAGTCTTGTTTTTCTCTCGTCATGCCTTTACCAAACAGTCTGGAACTGATTTCCCCCAGCCCCAGCTGGGGAAGGTGCCCTGGCTCTGAGAATGGAGGAGCCCCCATCTCCCTTACCCTGGTCTTGGGGGGAGGGTGCGGACACTGCTCTGTTCATGGTTAGTTGCCCAGGAGCGGTCAACCATTGTCCACTCTCTAGGTTGAAGACAGAAAAGGGGCTGGGATGGGCTGGCAGTGGAGCCCCTCACAGAGAGGGTGGGCGCGGGTCTGCCTGATGCCCACTGCAGGGAAAAATTAATGAGGTGTGTCGGGGGGGGCGGTGGGCTAGTTAGCTCCCAGATCAGCAGCCCAGAAGACCATTGTTTAAATGCATTTGACAAGGTGTCTGTACCCCTTTGGGCCAGTGGTCTGAGAAAAGAGCAGCCAGGACAGAGTAATGGAGCTATGGGGGAAGGGAAGCCAGAGTGGGAGAGGGAGTTCTGAACCCAGAAGGAGCCCAGCAAACAGGCTGAAATGGGGGAAAGAGGAGTGTGAATGGTGTAGGACAACTACCTCAGGGATGTCCTTCTTGTTGGGGGTGCTGAGCACCCCGTCTCTAGAAGCATTTGCCTCTGTCCTGCCTGAGGCTCATGGTAGAGGACAAGCAGAGACCTGGAAAGATGGGAATGGTGAGCCCCTGAGATCCTGGGCATCACAGTGGCCCTCCCCACCCTGCCTCTCTCTGACCACCGAAGGTGCCTCCGGGGAGCAAAACAGGGGTGGCGAAGGCAGGCCTGAGTGGCGGTCATAGTTCAGACTTAGAGGCCTGGAAGAAATGTGGGGATGATCAGGAAGGGCACTCCTGAAGTCCCTGCAGCCCACTGCTACTCCCCTTGGGCTAGGGGGACAAGAGCTAAAGCCCCAGAGAACTTGAGGGTGAATCAGGTAGGCCTAGGGAAAGCCAGTCCCCTATAGGAGGGGGGCCAGGGCCTCCAGTTGGAACAGGACAGGGGTCCCAAAAGCAAAGATGTCGCTGAAGGACAGAATGCTCCCTGTCGCCGGGTTGAAGAGAGGGAAGGAGGGCCAGGGTGGGGTCAGCAAAGGAAGGGCCACTTGGTGGGGACCAGAGAGTTCCAGCAGGCAGAAGAGAATCGTTATTGTGCTTATGAACACAGCAGCTCTCCGACTGCGAGAGCGAGCAGGCAGTTTGTAGGCACTAGAAGATTTCCGTGATGCATTCTAGGTCAATGAATGAGACCGAGCAGCCCCTTCGGTCAGCCCACTGACTGTACCCGCTGGCCGGTTCCAACCCAGGCAGCTTCAGATCAGGAGAGGGTCTTTTTGGCTGACAGAACCTGCCACTGAGTCCTCAGAAGGGGGAGGAGGGGACGTGGGACAGAGGGGAGCCCGTGAAGGTGTGGGAGTGAGACTGGGGCCTCGCCTCTCTCCTCACTCCCCGGGGACTCTACTGGAAGAGTAAGAGCAGTCGCTTCAGATACTGGGTCTGAGTGTTGGACCAGGCCAAGGGGCTGTGTCCCCTGGGGGTATGGCTTTCTCGACCAAGGTGCACACCCCCATCTACCACAGAGGGGACCAGGGAAGGGAGAAGTACAAGGAGAGAAGCTCTACTCCTGACCCCTGCCCTGCCCTGCCCTGCCCTTCCCGGTCCCAGCCCATCAGATGGCCCCAGCCGGGCCCTGCCAGTCACACGGTCACTTCAGTCTTGCTGGCGGTATAGCAGGTGTGGTGGCCAGGGATGTAGTGCAGCTGCTCCACCGTGTTGTGTCTGCGTGAGGCAAAGGCATGGCGCTTGGCTGCCGTGGAGTGACTCTTGCCCAGGGTGGCGTAGGAGTTATTGGAGGCACTGGGATGGGAGTGCATCTTGGTCATGCGGTAACGGTCCAGCACGGGCGTGGACACAAAGACGTCCGTGTGCGAGATGGCCCGCGACAGCGACTGCTCGGGGAAGGCCGTCCGCTCTGGGGACAGCAGCGGGTCCTGGGAGTGCAGGCGCTCGGTGGAGAGCAGCTGCTCATCAGACAGGATGCGGTCGTAGGGCATACTGAACTCATCGGGCAGGCGCCGCTCTGGGGACAGGACCCTGTCCTGGGACATGGCCCGGATGGGCCTGCGGGGTCGTTCTCGGGGCAACGGCTTCTGCTGTGACATCTGGATGACATTGAGGGGGAGAGTGCCCCGGGCAGCCAGATCAGGCAGGTGCCTCCGTCTCATGTAATACTCATCAGCCTCCTTGTCAGCTGCAGGGGAGAGAGAGAGAGAGAGAGAGAGAGAGAGAGAGAGAGAGAGAGAGAGAGAGAGAGAGAAGATAACACGTGACCCCATAGCCAGGGCCTTGGATAGAGTCCTTCAGGCAACTTGATTAACACAGACCTGTAACTCTTCCAGGACAACATAGTCAAAGTCCTTTAGTTGATGGAGTGGGACACAGAGGCTCAGACAAGTGAAGGCCATGCTACTCTACTGAATGTGCAAACTAACCCCTGGGGGCTTGTGCAGTACAGGTTCTGATTCAGGGGTTTGGTAGGGGTCCAACAGTCTGCCTCTCTAACATGCTCCCAGGTGCTGCTCCTGGTCCAAGGACCACCTCAAGTAGCAAGAGGTTAAGGGGCTTCCTCAAGATTACCAGAGAGTTCATGCAGAGCTGATACAAGCCCAACTCTCTGAGCCCTCCTGCCCTGACGCTGTACCTATCTCACCACAGCCCTGAAATAGAATGGTTCCCTGTCTTGCTGAAACATCTAAGTAGCACTCGGCAGCTTTCAGATACGAGGTCTAGAGCCTCTTTGGGAGCTGGGTCACAGAATCAGCCTCCTGGTAGGATAAGTAAGATGCTCCAACTACAAGGCACTTGTGAAAATCCTTAACTTAGCAATATAGTAACACATTCTCTGGAATAGCAGCCAATGCGCAGGAAGCCAACACACAGGCATCCAGCCCCCACACAGCCATACAATCAGCCTACACAAACTCTTGCCTGCACCCACAACTATAGCAGGCTGGAAGGATCCTATGTGTGCATTTCATTCAGATGCTCCATGCTCTTCTTCCAGACCTTCCTTCTAGACCTTTGAATTTATGTAGGACACACACAAACCTGCATTGCTCCAAATTTCAGCCATGAGACCTCCTATAGACAGCATTTGAATTTTCTGCCAAATGCAGGAATGGGGCCTGCTTCTCATTTGGCCCAGAGGAGTCGCTGATGGATATATCCTGCCTAATGAGTAACATTCCCTCATTTCAGTACATCCACCAGATTCCTCAACTCATCATAGATGCCCTCCTCTTGCCAGAGAAACTCAATGTTCCACCACAGAGGTGTCTGATGTAAACTTGAGCCATTCTACCCAGAAGCCCTGAGTCTTGAATCACAGTTGGATGATCATCAAAAGAGATTCATGGGGAGAGCAGGGGGCAAGAGTGGTCCAAGGGTCAGAAGATCTGGAAAGGAGAGCTGTCTTCAATGAACTTTCTTGACTTCTTAGTATCTTAAACCCATCAATACCATAGCCTACCTAGACTCAAATGGCACAATTGTAGTTCCTGGATAAACCAGCTTTAACTGATGAAATGGGATTTGCACCTGAGAGGTAGAAGTCTTTGGTCCTTAAGATGGCATTGCTTTGGTTAGAGAGGGAGCTGGTTTATGAGGCTTTTGAAGGATCTCAGAGAAAGCTCTGGACACTACTACTGTCTATTTCAAGATAGGATATAGAGCAAGAAGTGCCCATGGTTTGAAAAACACAGGTGGTGTGTACGCTAGGGAAGGCTCCTTGCAGTTGAACTGGTGCATGAGTTGAAGTGCTGCCCCTTATGGGAATGTAGATCTGAGTCCTGTGGCCTCTGTTCTATCTATGGAAAGAGTGAACTCAGACCATGTACACCTTCCTGTGTACCACTCCCCTCTTTGTCCTTGGGATTCTGCACCTGTCCTCTTGGGTACCAGACAAGAGAGTGAGACAGAGGAGGATGCTTTGGAGACCCCACAGACAGACCTCAGCCCTAAGGGGAACTTGGCTTACTTAGCCTCTTCAGAGATGAGTACTTGCTCGGGTTGGTCTTCACTGCAGACTCATAGGAGGGGGGAAGGTGAGCCAAGTTCTGGAAAGAGCGGGAGAAGGAGAGGTCATAGGGCTCGGTGGCTGATGTCAGGATGTTGTTCATCCTTGGCTTCTCTGCAAGAAAAGGGAGGAAAGTGCATTGTATTAGTGAAGACAAAAGCTGAGGTAGGCAAGAGATAGGGTCCAGGTTCCATCTCTCCACTTTCTGCCTCATCACTCACTAGAGTCCCCATTCTGCTTTCCTGAACCACTATGCTAGGACACAGCAGGTGCTGTTGACTCAGTTTCCCTTGGGTTCAGTTCCAGTTGTCAATAAGGTTTTAACTGTCACTGGCTCCTATGGTGTTGACCATTCCTTGAATCGCAGACTGAACTCAGACTCAGAAGTAGAATTTTTCTCCTGGGACATCACTAGGTTGTCTGATGAAAATGTAAGCCAGATGTAACTCAGGAGCATCATAAAATCATCCACTTCTGTGCTAAAGTATCCTCTACTAATAGCTGCAGGAAAACCCCACTCTCTGACTCAGACAAATCGGACTTGGGAGGAGCTGCAGTGACTTGTTCTACATACCCGTGGAGGAAGTGCACCTAGGACTCAACTCTGCTGAAGTTCCAACCCATGCTCTGTGCACGATGTCATTCCGCTCCTCAGACAGCTACTGCTCCTTTGGCCCTCTCCAAGCTCCACATCTGACAAGCCATTGTGAGCCTCCCCTCCAAGTATCTTACTTTAATCCCTTTCCCAGAAGCCCCTTTAGTCCTCTCTAAGGTGCTAGAGGAAAGAATGTGGGCAAACATGCCCATCACACCCTTCCTCTTCCCCTGAGATTTTTCCCTCTTCCCCTGAGATTCCAAGGTCAGAAGAGAGAGGATGGAATATCGCCCAGTGACAGACCTGGGGAGAAAATGGAGGAAGGAATGGAAAAAATGGTAAAAGGGAAATGGAGTGAATGACCAATGGGGGCACCATGCAGGGTGAGCTAGGAGCCAGATTAGGAATAACACAGGAAGGGAGAGAGCAGGGGCATGGCTGGGTAAGGGAGAGGTGGTGAGCATTGGGGTCAGAAAGGAGTGGTGGAAAGGCAGGCAAGCATGCCTTAAAGCTTGACAGGAGGAGGAGGAGCCACACACACACAAAACGACAGGAGGTAGTTGCTGGTGGAAATAGTGGTACTGTTCTCAGAAACCAGGCAGTTGAGAGGCTACCGTTTGGCTGCATCATCCCTCCATCCTCCATGGTTGGTATACCTCTAAGAAGGGGTCTTGGGACAGATGTGCAGATGGACTGTAGTTTCCCACACCTCTTGGCAAAGAGTGTGCTGGAATCATGGACCACGAGAATTCTGTGGACAGTTGGGGAGTGAGAAGCCCTCCTCGGCTTTATCCAAGGGCAACTCCAAGAATAGGGAACTCCTGGCTTCTCTATCCTTTCCTGCCTGCATTGTCACCCCCAGAACTGGGGATTGAGCCAGAGGATTTCAGCCAATCAGCTGTTGTTCATACCAGCTCGGTACATATGTGAGGGGGTGGGGGATGCTGTGCATCCCTGAGAGATCAGAACATACTGTACAGAGAGCACCTCCCTGGCATGGACCAGGACAGATGCCAGGAAGTGGGGTGGGCAGGAAGCTGAGAGCTCTGATCCCTAGACTTGGTTCATAGCCACCAGTCCCTTAGCCTTTGTTTCTTCACTTCTGGATGTACTTGAGAAGAGCAGACTTTTTTCTGCTTATTGGCATCATTCTTCCAAGGAGGACATCACTCAGCACACCCTCTTCCAAATGCAATATTTCTGGATACTGTTGCTCCACCACTGTTTTCTAAAGCATGACACTGAGTCAGTGCCAACTCTAACTTGCCTTTTGTCCCCATCAGGATTGCCCCTGGCCCCTTGATCATGCTTTCTCTCCTTCCTTACTCTTCCTCTATCAGATTCTCCCTTAACTCCAAGCTCTTGGTTGTGATCATGTCACATCTTTTCAGCTCACAATGATGTCTTCTCTTCTGGCTCACTTAACCCTTCTCGCAAGGTCCACCTGGGTTAGTGTCTAACTGGTCTCTCATAATTGGACCTGAGTTGGTCTTGTGGCTCTTCATCGATGGCCATCTTCTTGACAGCATATGCCTTGCTCTCGGATTTTCCTGATTATTTCCTATTACTTGGCACCAAACCAGGATCCAAATGGACCTCTGTGGTTAATCAGGCCTCCTCCTTTCTTAATAATTGCTCTGCCAGTTCCTGGGGAAAAGGTAATATCTAAGACAGGAATGCTCCCCCCACACCTTAAGCTGCTCAAGGGCAGGTACTGGAACTCATCAACCCCCATCTCCTTGCCTCAGTTGGAGGAAAGATGGCAGGAAGAGAGAGAGGGAGGATGGCTCTTCCTTTTGTACTGGGTCCTCTGTGCTTGTGCTGGCTCCTTCTGGGAAAAAATCAGCTCAGCCTTTGCTCTTCCCATAATGTTACTGAGTCAGTGGAAGCTCTCGACACCATTGGCATCCCAGGGCTCCCTATCTCTACCCTCTGCTTTTCTCTTTTGGGATTCTTGCACAGATTGTTCTCACTCCCAAGGCTTCTGTTGCTGTCTCCAAAGTTTAACTTGGATCTTCTGCACTAACCTTCCTCCAGACTTCATTTCTGCATCCCTACCTGCCTATTGAAGGATTTTTTTCTTGCAAATCCTATACTCATATCAAACTCTTGATGTCCAGATCCAAACTCACCATGAACAACTCCATTCCCTGTACACATGATTTTCCTGATTGCTTAGGTGGTATTATCAGCCCCTCCTCCACTCTTCTCATTAACCTTGGCTTGCTATTCTTCATGGCTCTCCTCAGCCCTGCTCAGTTACTAACAAATCTTTCTCAACATGTTTCATATATCGATCCTCCTTCCTGCTCCCTCAACACTGCCACCTCTTTTCAATGATCTCTCTCAGTTGTAATTCTAGCTAGACCCTACAACCTGAAATATCTGATTATGCTACTCTTTAGTCATATATTTCTACTAGGAGCACTACACTTGAGGGGCACATCAAAACAGTCTATTCCCCTACTTTTAATTAAAATGTCCCTCAACCTCGATGCTGAGGCACTGTGCAATCTCACATGAGAGTCTCTACCATGTGGGTTGTTGAATTTATCTTTGTATTTTTCAGACTCTCTCTCACTAAAACGTGAATAATGCTTATGCTCTTTCATAGCAAAGAGACAGGAATAATTGAAGCTTCACAGTTTACATGGCCGTCTTATGTTCTGTTGAGCTTTGAACAGGGACTCCCCAAATAGGTTTTTCTCCGTGGTCCCAAATATTGTGACCTGGTGGGAGGATGTTAGAACCGGGGAGGGAAAAACATGGTTTTGTAACTCTTTGGCTGTCCTCCTCTGCTAAGGGTTCTCTGCCTCTTTCCCTGCCAAGAGGCTGAAGCCCAATCAGCTCTGAGTTTCATCAAATATTAATTAGTTTGGGGAAGATGGAGATAGTTTAACCAAGTCTCATGTCCATTTGTATTAATGATGCCAAAAGTAGATTTGGGCAAAGAAGCGTGTTCATCTTCTTGCCGTAGACACAGAATCTATGACCGCAAGAAGTGACACGTATTGCAAATGTAAATGAGTTGAGAAAGGATCTTGCTTCTTCTCTTTCATGGCAGGAAATCACTCTGCTATCAGAGACAGAAGCACCAAGGGGACAAAGGGAGAGTGGAGATTTGTGGCCAGGAGGAGGGCAGGCATGTGGCTCCTCAGTTTCAGTGAGTCAATGACCATGCATTTGATGCTCGGATAGGCATCCATGGTTGGAATGGAGCCACTTGGAATGAGGATGGAATGCCGAGTGCTCTCAGTCATCTCTCACCATGTGTAGGGGTCTGGGTAGCACTGCTTAAAATCGGATGATTATACTGATGATCACCTGAAAGTCACAGAAAAGAAAAATTTAAAGAAGGGCTCAAACATTCCAATGTCTTCCCAACATGACAGCAGCTCTCTTTACCTCTAAGTCTTTTTCTGACTCAAGGGAAATACTTCTAAGAAAGGCAGGAGTTAGTGTATTATGCTCCAAGAAACTGTTTTTGTCTCTCTTCTCTGCATCTGGGCTTCCTCTGTCACCATGGTGACCCACACCCGTCCCTGGATGTGGCTTACCAGCTATACATACTTGTTGGGATAGAGGGAGGTGAAAAGGAGCATTTTGCAAGCATATGTACATAGCATGGGGAACTGAGTTGGTGGGAGGGTGCTAGGGTGTGGTTAACCAGGATTAGGATCCCTGACTTAAGGTTTTTGTTTTATTTTATTTTTTTTTTAATTTTTTTTGGTACTGGGGATTGAACCTAGGGACACTCAACTACTGAGCCACATCCCCAGTCCTCTATTGTATTGTAGTTAGAGACAGGGTTTCTCTGAGTTGCTTAGGGCCTTGCTAAGTTGCTGAGGCTGGCTTTAAACTCACCTTCCTCCTGCCTCAGCCTCCAAAGCACCATCGTGCCCAGCTTAAGAATTTTAAATACAGGTGTCTGGGGATATTGTGAGATGCAGCAAGCTGATGAGAACTATCCACTGCCTGAGATCAGGAGTCCTGGGTTCTAGGCTAAATGACATACCCAATAATTTAGAAGAATTTCTTTTATTAATATTGCAAAAGCCTACTTAGATAGATCCATAAAATAAGCAGATTTTGGGTAATGCTGTCAAAGTCCAGAGTTCAGGGCATTCCAAGAGCTTCTAAATGGTTAGAATGGAGATTTAGCTTGCCTCTAATGTATACTCCCAACATTGTATTATTGCTACAACTCAGTGTTGTATGTTTTTTTAAATATTTTTTTTTTAGTTATAGAGGGCACAATATCTTTATTTTGTTTATTTATTTTTATGTGGTTCTGAGGATCTAACCCTAGTCTCACACATGTGAGGCGAGCGCTCTACTGCTGAGCCACAACCCCAGCCCAACAGTATTGTATTCTTGATTTCTCTGGTGTGTGTATCTAATTTTAACCAAGAGACACAAGGTATTTTTTCTTCTTTATTTCAGTATTGGGGATTGACCCCAAGGGGGCTATGAGTGAACTACATTCCCAATGTTTTAAAATTTTATTTTGACACAGGGTGTCACTGAGTTGCCCAGGCTGGCCTTGAACATCTGATCCTCCTGCCTCAAACTCCCAAGTCACTGGGATTACAGGAGAGTGCCACCACACCAGCCTGCGGTCTTTGCTTTATTATACCTACACTGTGGAATATGGCTCTGTCATATTTTGTTTATTTATTTTTATGTGGCGCTGAGGATCTAACAGGGCTAGTACATCATCTTCACGGGGCTAGTACATCTGTCTCTATTTCTGTACATCTTGTGGAAATTGTCTTTCTTACCCTTGGCATTATACTCTCTGGCTACTCATTCCCTAGTTCCTTTATGGTATCCCTTTCCCTCTTCTCTAAGAACGGAGGCTCTTAGAGAAGCATTAGTTAGCATTTCCATCTCCTAAAACACTACTCTTCATGAAGACTTCAATGCCGACTTCAATGCCATTCAAAATATTCCACCCTCTTGCCCAAAGTGATAGTTCGCCAATCTGCAACTTTAGACTGAGGCAAATCTGATTTGCAATTTACATTTTAAACTGCTAATGGACATCCCTTGACATTCCTGCCCTTACTCCAGACCATAAGTCCCAAAGTGAGTTTATCATTTTATTCTCCTTTGTTCAAGTTCTAGGTACTTATGTTTCATGGGTGTGGAAGGTAGAACATCAGTCATCTTGATTGTTTTCCTCCTTTCATTCTCCATATTCACATGAACCCTCAAAGTTTTCTTCCAATTGTTTTCTACTGAATCCAGGCCCACACTATATTGTCAAGATTTTGCTTAGCTCTAAGCTCCGGCCATTTCTAAGACAAATCATCCTGTATCCTCTTAACCACATAACATTCCCCAAACCAATAAGTCTGGACTCTAAAAAATCAAGCACACTATCTAATATGATGTGGGCTTGGGAAGCAGGCCAGAATCTCTCATTTGAAGAGAATGTCCCTTCCTGAGAAAGATAAAAGTTACAGCCAGGGAAGAAAATATTTGCCAAAGGTTGATTAGGACCTGGATTTAAGAAGAAGAGGAAATCCAGGAAAGGAGAGAAAATATTTTTTTTCCTCTTGCTCATTTCCAGAAACAAGGAGAAAAGTGATTCATTTCCTCCCTCCCTCTTTCTCTCCCTCCCTATCCTCTCTCAATATTTCCCTTTCTTTATTTGGTTGATTGGTTGTTTTTTAAGCAATATGGCAGTATCAACAACAGGGGGTGCCCAGGTTAAATGGTGGAGAGTTTTTAATCTAGGGTCTTGGCAACACCAGTCAAGGATTATGGATAATGCAGATTCAGATAATTTCTGATAACCGATTATACTCTATGCCCTGTGCTAAACTCATTCACATGGATTTTTTTTCTTCTAAAATTATTTTTCTAATTTTAATTGTACATATTTATGAAGTTCAAATTCCACATATATATATATATATATAATGAGTAATGACCAATCAGGGTAGTTAGCATTTCCATCTCCTAAAACATTGAACAAAATGTTTTGGATCAACAAATAATATTTGTAGATATTTATAGGTTACAGTGTGATATTCAATACATGCGTATAACATGTACGATCAAATCATGATAATTAACATTTCCTTCTCCTTATCGCTCCTCTGTATTTGGAGTCTTTGAATCCCTCTCTTCTAGTTATCCATAGGTGTATAATAGGCTGTTGTGAACAGTAGCCCCTCCCCTTATGCTATATGCAGGACACTAGAACTTATTCCTTGTGTCTAATTATTTTGGTATACATTATCCATCTCCCTTCTACTCCTATTGCTCCCCTCCTTCCCAACCTCTGGTAATCACTCTACTACATTCAGATCAATGTTTAAGCTTCTATATGAGAGAGAACATATGGTATTTGTCTTTCTGTGTCTGACATATTTCACTTAACATAATTCCCCCAGTTCCATTGATTTTCACATGCATTTTTTCTAAACTAATCCTTCCAAAGATCCCCATGTGATTCAGAGAAGAGTAGAATGAATATAGATTATTGGCCTATCATTTGCCAGACACTATAAAACTCTCTAAATACCTTAATTGCAATCTTTATGTATTTGTCTTTTTTTCTTTTACAGATGAGGTCATGAACTTCATCTGCAAACTCCTGTCTTGAGTTCACATATTTTGTATGTAAATACCATGCTTTTTCTTTTGTTTGAATCTCACTGAAAATGTTTTTTTTCTAACACTTGAATTTTTCCTGTGTTGGTATTAAGGAGAAATATCTTCAATTAAATATAAAGATAAAATTAAAACTGCCCTAAGATAATCACTGTGACATTTTCTTTTGTTCCACTTCTTGCATAAATAACTGTGTGTGCTTACACACCCACACACCCACACACAACCCCCCCACACACTTAAATAATGTTACATGAATACTTCTGTAGATGTGTGTCATTTTTCACACAGATTACAGTTCTAAAATGGATTAAAACATGATGGTGATTTGATCCTCACCCTTCTGCAAAATTTCCAATGTATGAGGCTATTTACTGCAGTATTTTTACATTAACAAAAGCAAGGAAACAATCCAAGTGCTCATACATATGTGTGGATATGCACATAGAGATAAAAATATATAGTTTCCCTATTGCAAGCATGCTGCACATGTTACTTTAATTTTTTTATACTTATCAAACATCATATTCTTGGATATATTTTCATGTTTTAAAATATGCCTTGAAATATTTTCTATAATTTCACAATGGTCTTTGTATAGAATAACCTGTTCTTTATTTCTGTATATTATTTCTTTAGATAATATTTCTATACATCATTTGTATCAAATACAGAAAAATATATTTGTTTAAGCATTATACATTGAAGTATATATATTTAAGCATACCTCTATATTTTGGTATTTAGATTGTTTAAAAGTTTAAGAATGGTATACCAAACAACCTTAACACAAATCTGTGGCAATGTATCATTTCCCTAGGCTAATAATTAAAAACATTTCTAAGTCAGCATGTCATCAATTACCCAACAGTGTGATAAAGTAGATGATAGATTTCCTCATATTGAAATATTGAACTATTCCCGGAACACATTCTATTTGATTCTGTTGTCTTCTTATTTCATTACAACTCTGGCTTGTATTTGCTTATATTTAATTGACATACATTACGCATTCATAAAATTTGTATTTTTCTGTGCTAACACTGTCAAGGAGTTTTGTTTGAAGATAATTTTTGTGAAACCAAATGGATAGCATGGAATCTTTTCCTCTACTTTGAAATTATTTATATAGCACGTGAAGTATCTGTTCTTTGGAAGTTTGAAGGAATGTAACAATAAAAATGCCTTATGTCTTGGGGGGGGGCAGTCCTTCTGTTAGCATAGGACTAGAGGCGTGGCTTGTATTATTTCATTGACTGCTTCACTGCTTTGGGAGGTAGATATTGTTATCATTGCCAGTTTAGAGATAAGGAAACAGGTTTTTAAAGATTGAATATTTTGCCCAATGTTATATAGCTAGCAAAAGAAGCTGGAATGCAAATCCTAGGAGACTAGCGCTAGATCCCAAATCCTTAACCAATATGTATCTTGCTTTCTCATGCTTGGCAACATAGTCCTTGCAAATTGATTCATTCAAGCTTTCTGATACTAATTTCAATTTGTAATTTATATTTTTTCTTTAAAAAAAAAAAAACTTATTGGACATTTAAAATCTTATTGCCTGAAAACTGAAATACCCCCTACAACATTCTCTATACACGAAGGCATTTCCCCTTCATTGTTCTTTATTTTTTGTATCCATGTTTTCTGAATTAGTAATGTATTCATATTATTCTCCTTTTCCAAAAAAATGACCTGTA